ACAAAAATCCAGGTTCTTAATATCAGATTTTCTCTCTTTTCTGACCTCCCTGAGAAATGTTTCTACTCCAGTCAGTTTTTTCATGTTTGCTTGTTTCAGGTTCTTTCACTTCCTGGAGAAAGCCTAACCCAGTGGTCAGTAAAGGGCAGGGTGAGCTAAAGGAATTAAAAATAGGAGATGTCTGGTCACCACAGACATCTCAGCATCCTCTCCACAGGAGGTAGACAGACTACAACAAGGCTCAGGAAAGATTTTCTATAAAGGGCAAGATAGGAAATATTTTAGACCTGTGGGCCATATGGTGTCGGTCACAAGCATGCCACCCTGCCATCCCGGTGTGAAAGAAGTCATACACAGTGCATACACCATGGTGGGTGTAGCTGTGTGCCAAAAACACTTTAATGACAAAAACAAGTGATGAACTGGATTTGGTCTATGAGCTGAGATTTGCTAAGCCCAAGAGACATTATTTTTTAAAAGTGTCTATGCAACTGCAACCAGATACATGACAAAAATGTTTCCCATTGCTCATTATTAGAGAAATGCAAAGTAAGGCCAAAATGAGATCCCATCTCACACCTCTAGGAATGGCACATACTGAAAAGGTCAGAAGTGAGTGCTGGTGAGGATGCAGAGTAAAAGGAACCTTACATTGCTGGTGGCAATACAAACTGGTGCATCCACTATGGAGCTCAGTAGAAGGTGCTGCAAAACGTTAAAAAGTGGTCCGCCATTTGGCCAATTCCACTCCGAGGCCTCTATCCGAAATATTAAAACACACTAATCTGAAAGGAAATTTGCTCTCCCATATTTATCGCAGTGGTGTTTACTGTAACTAAATTATGGAAACAACCTAAGTGCTCCAAAGCGGATGAGTGGATGAAGAAGATGTGCTGTACACACACAATGGAAGATTAGCTATCAGAAATGATAGCTAACTTTTCTTCTAACTTATTTCACTGGGCATTAGACCTGGAAGGGATAATGCCCAGTGAAATAAGTTAAACGAAAAGAAAAGTACTGGATGATGTTGAGAGATACAAAGTCACTAAATTAAGACTCAAATAAAGGTTTTCAATGAAAACCTTTACTCTGCAAACTGAGCCTCAAATGTCTGCATCTCTGCCCTTTTGGTAAATCATAAGACAGGAGGCAAGGCTGTCCTTGAGCTAACAGGGCATGAATTCTAGCAGAGAATGTCATGAAGGTTCCCTCCAGCTGGGGAACCAGACTAAAACTAAATTTTGATAGCTGATTACAAAACCGAAGCCCAATAGAGGAAGGGCTGGAGGAGGGGTAAGATCACAAAGATGATGGGGGGCTGTGGTGGGTTGGTGGTGGATATACTATGGTTATAATATCTGATGAGGGTAACTAAATATTACCTCAATTAAAAAAAAAAAAGAATGTGGGCCCTCCCTGGTGGCGCAGCGGGTTAAAGCACTGCACTGAGAATCTAAAGCTGCTTCCGCATGAGTTCGATTCCCGCCTGCCCTGGAGGTGACCACATGGCGCGGCAGACCTCTCCTGACCCGCCTGCTGCTCCCCTCAGCAGTGTACTTCGTCGATCTGCCTGTCCTGTTCCCCACTCTGTCTCTGGTGAAGCCTCTCACCGCCCCTGAGCCTCTGGCCTGTACCCCAGTTCTGTATGTACAAATAAATAAATCTTTAAAAAAAAAAAAAAAAGAATGAAGCAAAAAAGAAAAAAAAAAAAAAGGAGATGCTACTCATGGAGCCCTTTGGGGCATTGCTTGGGACTAGGCTGCCAAAGGAAGTAGCATGGGCATTGGCCTGCTCCCTGGGACACCTGGCACAACCTAGGCCTTCCTGCACAGAGACAACGAGAGCAAGGGCAAAATTTGACCACGTGGTTTGCTTTGCCAGCCTGGGTCCACTCTGCGTGGCCAAACTTCCACTGGGCATTTCCACATGTTCCACATATAGTCAAGGGCACGAGAGCAGCAAGGGGCTCCCTGACCCCAAGTCTTCATCTCACTGTTGTGGAAAGTGAGGCCTAGATGGGCTCACATGTATGCTGCTCAGTCACACCTCCAGAGTCAAAGCTGTGGTTTGCAGTGTAATCCGTGCCAGTGTCTGAAAGCCACACCGTCATTTCTGGAATAGACTCACCTACTAAGAAGTGCAGTGCTTGAGCCTTAATGGAGAAGAGTCAGCTCTTTTTCCTGTGACTTACAAAATCCCAAATCTCCTGTTTGCCCTTCCTTCCATGAAAACATCTGAATCAAGGTTCATGAGTTATTGCCCTTGTGCCAGAGATCCAGGGAGTCCTCTGAATCTGCTGTAGTCCTACCCTCAGAGACGGGAGAAATCAGACACTGGCTTCTTGCATTTACTGGCTACAACAGGGTGGGGAAGTGGCTTTCATCCTATATATCAACTGCCCCCATGCATGGTGGGAATGTTAAAATGAATTGTAAGGCAGCATCAGGGATAAGTGAAAAAGAATGTCATGTTTGATCAGGGGCAGCCTGGCAGTGGGTATGTTCCACATGTTATTTCCATCCTAATCTAGAACATCTGTTACCTGAGAAATAGGGAGGGTTTGTTCATTAAAAATTCCCTACTATTGATTTCTTATAAAGAATGTCAAATTAATACTGTCAAAAATTACTTTTACAACATCATTCTCCAGCTTAAAGATGCGCTAAAGATCTTTCCCTATTTTGTACATAATAAATTGACTTCCGTAGTCTAATAACCACGGCCCTTCATAATTTGATGCCACTTACAATTCTAAGTTCTCAGGAACTCTGCAGATTTTCTCCTTTCTGGTCTCCCTGTGCTATTTTGTGTGCCCAGGGCACACACTGATCTGAAATGAACACCAGTAAATAGGCCAGAGACGGGAGTTGGTTCTAACGGGAGTAACTGGACTGACAGATATGGAAGAATTAATAAGTGGCAGGCTTAGAGGGGAAAAGGGTATTAGAATGCTTGTGATGAGTGTCTGAATCAGAACAGTCTCTGGCTGAGACTTGTCCTTTTTGATCATCTAGTTTCTAGCCCAGTTTAGCAGCCCATCATAGTTTAAAAGCAGGGGTCTTTTACAGCTGTTTCTTAACAGATACCTGCTAGGCATCCCAGACATTTTGATTCTCTAAGCTCATGGCACCTTCATCACCTCTAGTGCCTGTTTCCCTTTTGTTCTGTCTCTTTGAATCCTACCCCCATGTTTTAGAACTCAACTCCAAAGCACTGACAAGTCTGTGGTCTGTTTCAGTGACCCATTTTCTGATACTTGACATCATTCCCTAATTCATCACCACAATTTACGTAGGATCTCCTCATGTTGGCAAGACAATGACATTCATCACTACAGTCCTGTTTGCCTGGATATTTATATTCAGGATCTTTTTGGATATTGATTTGCTGTCTGATTCAAATGCAGCAGTCTAGCTGTGAGCTGGGATACGGAGGTAAGTATGACCTGTTAGATTTAAATACCAGTCTAAGGTAACAAAGCGCCATAAACTAGCAATGGAATGCAGCAACATAAAGCACAATAAATTCTTATTGCTCATGGCTAAAATGAGACAAAACATTATTCCAGAGTAAGAAAGAAAGAGAGTAAAACTATCATAGAAAAATATGAGCAGGTTAACTTTTCCAGCATGCTAAAAGGCACCTGAGTGACCCAAAGAGTTATTGAACTTGAAAAATGAACAATTGTATAGCTTATAGTGGCTGGACTGTGACTAATAGTACAACAATTTCTCACAGCAATGCATCTAACATAAAAAGTTTACCATGCACATATTTAATTTGGAATAAGTTTACCATTTATAAGTCTAAGAAAATATACAATTTGAAACTGCTATGAATTCTGATCAACATGACATGGAAAATCTCAATGCCAAGCTTGTATAAGTTATGGGAAACAGAATAGAGTCACTTGTTACTCTTATTGTCACAGAAACCAGGAACAGGACTATCAGAGGCTTTTTCCATATTCTTATATGCTAGGACCATGCTTTGCTAATTTCAGGGGACAATAAAAACCAGTGTAAGTTTTTTGTGTTACATCTCTAATGATACCAGGCCCTGTGACCATGTCATCAGCAGTATGGCTGGGAACTGACTAGCCTCCTGTTCTTGCTACTTGGGGGGGTCGGGGTGAAGGGGAGAATAGAGCAACTTTCAACTTTGAGCCAAGAGAATAGTTCCAGCTACCATTACCAACAGCTGGGGTCATATAGAGTTAGTGGGACCATTTTATAGGCCTGTTTTATTTTTTCCCTTGGGCTCTTTGAAAGCAGATGAATTCTTGGACTTGGCCATTAGCAGAGCACATGAGAGGTTCCTCTGACATCTCCATGATCCTGGTGTGAGGGCCCACGATGTGGATACCTACATAACTAGCTACACAGTTCTGTCACCAGAGAGACAGCCTTGTGGGCATTAACTTGGGGGAGGTTCCTAGTGACAGATGCCTGGAAAGTCCCAGCTGATGAAGTTGTCTACCATTTGCCTTGGGGAGTCTGCCTGGGTTATTTGGGGCCCTACTTTCAAAAGGCTGTCTAAACAGATTGTCTACCTTTTGAAGGGTGTTGATATGGCAGCTTTCTCCCTCAAAGTTGATTCTAGTCCTATTTTAGTGGGGAGGAGGTCATGGAAGAGTACTGGGACATTGTTGGCAAGGGGAAAGAAAGGAGGCACAGGAGCATTTCTTTACTGCTGCATCTTAAAGGTCAGTGAGTCGATCTGATTGAGGGGAGCTGGACTGTGGTGTCAGCCCAAGAGGATTCGGAAGGGAGCCACATTGGAATCGAGACAGGCTAGAATCCAGACTAAGAACTGCACTCACCTCATATGGAAAGCCAGCCAAGTTTCCACTGGTGAGTCTGGATTCTGTAGGCAATTTAGTGATTTCCTGTTGGCCACCCCCACTGCTGCCTCCCTCCCACCTGCGAGCGGTCACCCATCCATAAATCCTGTCCAGCCCTGGATTTTGGCCCAATGTTCCAGAGGGTTGGACTCACCAAGGAGAGCGGAATTCCCAGGATCCAGGACCAGCTGTGTTCCCAGAGGAGACATCAGCACCGATGGAAAGTTTGGTCCAGTGGCTGAAAGCAAGGCCCTGATGTCTTCCAACTGTGTGGGGACTTGAGGAGGATCTGTGAGAAGGCAGATGGTGAATCAGGCAGGTTAAAGCATAAAGGCCACACTGAGGGCAAGAGATGGGCTGCCAGCTGTATGCCTGCGTATGTGGCAGGCATTACTATCATTGTCTTCTGTTATCATTTTCCTACAGGGCAGGCATACCTATCAAGGTGATTCTGAATGTCAGACTTAATATTTGCTGCCTGGAACAATGCAGTCAATGGCAAGAATTAGGTTTCCTTCCTTCCCCCTCCCCCCGCCACCCTGTACTCCTTTAAGCCACTGTACCATCAGGTCCCCATAAATGTGTAGGTAAATTGAGCTATATACATAAAGACATGTTTAGCTATTCAGTACTTCTTTAGCATTTACTGTATACCAAATTCCATGCTGAGCTGTTTTCATTCCCCCCACTCCAGTTTTACTAATAATTGACATACATTGATTATATAGGCATACAGCATAAAGGTTTGATTTACATATATTGTGACATGACCACCACAATAGTTTTAGTTAACATCTATTTTCTCATGTAGGCACAGTAAAAAGGAAAGAGAAAAGAAATGATGAGAAACAATTTCGTCCTTGTAATATGAATACTCAACTTTGCTATATATTATACAGCATGTATGCTATAGTTTTCCTGTCACACCTACTCATTTTTTCCCCATATAACTCTTATCCTTTATATATGGAAGCAATTTATTATTGTCCTCCTACACAGGAATACACTGCAGGAATTTACTACTGAAAACAAAACAAAAAACTATGAATCTATGAAAAGAAACCTCCATGAAGAAAGTGGCCCAGCTGAGAAGTTGTGGTTGAATTTTTAATGACCAAGTAGGACCTAGACAAGTAGGATAGGGATGGTTTGTTATTTAAAATCTTATAAGGAAGTCAGGGATGAGCCATCACGGTCACAATTAAACAGAGCCCATGGTGGCCAAAATGGGAAATAGAGTGTCCTCCTGGTTTCCACTGGAGAATAAGAGTCAAGTGCCTGCTGGTCTTAGTGGTGGGGTGACCCTTGATTTTCCTGGAAAAGCAGCAGAATCCCTGTCCCCCTCTTCCTGCATCTCTTAACTCACTGCAATTCATGCTCTAAGGCCATGAACTCACTGCAATTCATGCTCTAAGCTCCCACATTTTCCCCTACAGAATTGGTTGGAAAGAGCAATGCTCTTGGGTGGACGGTCACAACATTTCAACACTGCTTATGGAGACCCACTACGTGCTTGTCCCCTTGCTGAGTACTTACAAGGGACAGCAAGCCATGAAGGCATCTGGGTCTACTTTAAAAGACTTATCTGTTTCCTCTGCCTTTCACTGCACACTGAAAACAATGATGAGCTTAAGACTTTTCATGTAAATATAGTAATCAAAAAGGATAAAGACATTATATATACTACATTATAATGCTTTATATAGTTGAGTGTAAAGACATTGTGCTTAGGATCAGTGAGAACTGTGGTTCTGTCATCCACAAACTTGAGCAAGTCACTTAATCCTTCTGAGCATCAATTTCCTCACCTTATAAATTGATGGGAAATCTGAAATACTTTGATTTTAAAAGCTTATGGTTGCTCTATCTAAAGACTATGCATCATTGCTGCAAAAACCTGAAATGTTCAGCAGCATTTGTTGCCACACTGTTTGCAGTAGTTATGACACAGAAGATGATTAAGGGTCCTTGATAGTTATTTGGATCAAGAAAATGTGGTGTATCTACACCTTGGGATACACAAGAGAAGATGAAATGCTGTCATTTACAGAAAAATGGAGGGAATTCAGAAGGGCAAGTACTGGACATCTATATAGAGAATGGGATACAGGGGTAGAAAGAAGGGTGGAGAGTAAAAAAAAAAAACAAACAAGAGGGAAGGTCTTAGTTATCTGAAATAACTATTTTGTTGAATTTCTGTATATGCCAGTTATAATCATGGGTTCAAGACCACATGTCATGACTAAATCGAAGTCACATAATTGAAAAATATTTTCATGGTTGGAAGTTTTGGATGAGGTAACATTATTAATTATTATTGGGATAGTTTACAATCACTTCAAAGTTATTAGTAGTGAGCCAGAATTATCATTTATATATAAAGAATTTCATGTATATTTACAATATTACATATATCTTTACAGACAAAGGCAAGGAAGAGCAAAAGTCTCCATGTACTTAGGATGAGAAGATGGGAGTGGAGGATGAGGGAAGGAATTTCTTATTTGAAAGGAGGAGAGAGGGAAAAGAAATGTTCATATTTATATGATGAGGAAAATGTCTTTACTCCTATTTGGAGAGTTGTGTACCCAGGTGGCAGTTTATCCAATTCAAGATTCTCTTCCTACCCTTAGTATTCCTTCAAGACTACTGAAATTAAATTTTGAATACTGAGGGAAGTTGAATTCCTTCAAAAATACTGAAATTGAATATTTCTTTAAGGATGTTGAAATTCAAGAAGTTTTTGCTTGCTAAGATGGACCAAATGTTGGCCTCTTATAATTTATAGCTCTGGATGTGGGTTTTTTTTTTTTTTTTTGTATATCTCTACTTGGTCTTCTTATGGAAATTATAAGTTCTCCTAAGACAGAGTTCACATTCCTTATGTCTCCTAAAGCACTACTTGGAACTCGAGGTAACACTTAATAGATATTCATCCACAGGTTAAATGAATAAATGAGTGTTTCATTGCACTTAAGTCTCTAGACTGACAGGTTAAGTTGCAAAACTCCATATGAAACTGAACTTTCCATACAAACTCCCTCTTCCACTTAAAAAATAAGACACTATGGGTGCTTATTTTTAAAAAAGGACATTACTTCTATGCTCATAAAGTACCTATACAAACTAACAAACTTTGATTAGAAATCAAGACTTCTGATCAAGTAAGGTCCTAGACATACTGAAGAGTCAAAATAGTGACTTTCTCATCAAGTGTGAATAAAATAGGAAGGTTGGTTATGTTCTTCAAAATCCATGTCCACAGATACATTGTTTAAAGTAGGCAGACCAGCTTGCAGGACACACACACTTCAAAGGTGGGGGCTACAGTAGCTGACAACATCCCAGCCTTTTCTGTTAGCAGAGAGGATGCTGAAAAGCTTCAGGGAGGAGAAGGCCCATCAGCAAGCACTATATCTCTGTGGGGCAACAGTCTCTGGGCCAGGGGATCCAGGCTAGCAGGTGAGCTGCATGAAATCTAACACAAAAGAAATGACATCCTTCACTGAGCTGATTCCTAAGGCTTTCTAAAATGATTGAGGGTTTATGCAGCCACTGGTGAGAAGAAAGTCCATCTGGGCCTCTCTGAAACCTGCGTACACAAGGGCTCGAGACCCTGTGCTTTGGTGTGTCATTAATTTGGTGTGTGAAAATACATGTATAAAGTTTAATTATTTTCCCCTGAGGAATACCATAATGTTATGTATGTGTACATATGCGTGGTGTGTAACTGTTTACATTTGCCATATTTCCTTTTTTTTTTTCTTCCTGGATGATTGCTTTCTCCTGGGGAGAAAACTAGCACAAAATACAGAAGGGTGAAGGAGTATGCCCCAAATTGGAGTTATGTCAATGACTGGCAAGTTGACAAAAGTGAAAAAAAAAAATTCTCAAAAGAGAAATCATAAGTACTCTAATAATTGTCTTTTTTTTTTTAAAGATTTATTTATTTGTGCATACCGAACTGGGGTACAGGCCAGAGGCTCAGGGGTGCGAGAGGCTTCACCAGAGACAGAGTGGGGAGCAGAACAGGCAGATCACGAAGTACACTGCTGAGGGGAGTAGTGGGCGGGTCAGGAGAGGTCTGCCATGCCATGTGATCGAGTGGTTTATCAGAGATGGGGTTCTGGGGAGGTGACTAGGTCAAGAGGGCTGTCCAAAATGGGATTAGAGTCCTTCTAAAAGAGAGTGCAGAGAGCTCGCTCATCCACTCTGTTCTATGGGGACTTTGCAGGAAGCCAGCAGAGACAACATGGACGAAGGTTTTTACCAGATATACTGGAGCTCTGATCCTGGACTTCCAGCTGCTAGACGTGTGAGAAATAAATTTCTGTTGTTTATAAGCTTAGCAGTCTGTGGATTTTGTTACAGCTGCCTGAATGGACAAAGACAGTGTGTGTTTGTGTGCACGGGTGCACATGTGTGAGCTTTAGATGGATTAAACCATGAGCTTTCTGCAATTATATGAACAATTTCACATGTATGAATTTTTCTAGAGGGGGTAACCTACAGTTTCCATATGATTCTATTTTTTAAAGAAGCACATAATGGAGGAAGAGTAAAAAGTAACAGCTTTAACTTTATTATCTCTCTCTGACAGGACACTGCCCCACATCCAATAAGGATAATCCTTATTTTGCAGATTTCCACAAGGAGAACAACATCTGAGTCTAGCAAAATTAAGTAACGTGTCCCAGGTCACACAGAGAGTAAGGGGCAGAACCAGCGTTAAGCTGATGTCTTCCTGGGCCCAAAGCCTGCGCTCTGATTAGAAACCCTAAGATGGGGAGAAGTAAAAGATTATTGATTTTACCTTTATGCACTTAGCTCAATGGGGGAAAAGAGGAGGTAGAGGGAAGGTTACCGGATTCCCCCCACCTGGGTCCAGAGGCGGCAGCCAACCTCCAGTTGCTTACCTAGGACCAGCAGCTGGGTGTTCTCAGTCAGCTCCCCATGCAGGTTGGCTGCTCGGCAGGAGTATAGGCCCTGATCCTCCGAGGACACCTCTGTGAGCAGCAAGGAGCCCTCGTGCAGATGGTGAGAGGAGCCCAATCTGCTTTTATTCCTGAACCAAGTCACTTCAGCTTCAGGTACACCTAGGAAGAATGAAAAGAAAAGGAAACAAATCTCATTGACCAAACACATTCAGGTTGCTAGGGAGGCATTTGCAGCCCCTTGGCAGGCATCTGCCTGGGGGTCTTCTACTATCTGTTGGCTAAACTACAGTCTTGGATACTTGCATAAGTGAAAGTCACTGGGGCGGCTACCTATGCTGTTCACAGGCAGGGTGGTGGTTCCTCTTAGGGGATGGAAGAGGCTTGGCCCCTCACAATGCTGTTTATTGGCCTGGGCTGATTTGGTTGGCTTGGCCCCTTATATATGCAGCTTTCTGTAGAAGTATTACACTTCAATACAAAAGCTACAAAATGCTAATAGACATACACATACACCAGACAAACTAAAGTTGCTAGATCCTTATCAGAGTAGGCACTATATATATATATATATATATATATATATATTTAAAAAATCTATGCATTTTCTTATAATAAGAGAACACAAGACTATGGTATCAAGAGCACCAAAGAAAAAGAAAGAAGATACTCTACTTCCTCCTCAATCCAAGTTATTGTCTGAGAGAGTGAGAGAGAGCTGGGGAGATAGTGCATATGAATTGGATAGTATATCTTTAGAAATCAGGCTCTGTACTCTGTACTCTGTACTCTAGGGGTATTACGGACTGAATGTTTAAGTTCCCTCCAAATTAATATGTGGGAAACCTAAACCACCTAGGAGGTGAGTATTTAGGTTCAGATCAGATCATGTGATGAGGACATTCGTGCCATTGCAGAAGGAGAGCAGAGACTTCACTCTTTCTCAAACTATGCGAGGGAACCGCAAGAAAATAGCTGACTTAAGGCAGAAAGTGAGCCCTCACCAGGAGATGAATGGATGGACTGGAAACTTCATCTTGGAATTCCCAGATTGCAGAACTGTAAGAAATAATCCTTTCTTACCCAGTCTATGGTATTTTATTATAGTAGTCTAAGTAGATCAAGTAAATCAGTCTAAGTAATCAATCAAATTCTTTAGGAAATTACCCTGTGATTCCCATGCTGAAGCAGAGAACAGCGTAGGACAAGTCTCTTGAGGTGGTCTGCCTAAGACGCTGAGTTCTGAGTGAGTGAAGAGACAGAAAGTCTGTGGGATTAATACAAATTTCTGGGAAACAGAAGCACCATCCCTTGTACCCCCTAATCACTGAGCTAGCTCACAAAGTTTACTCAACGAACTCTTGAGCACACATCTAGGGCATGTTACAATGTCAAATCTTGGTAGACAGGAGACAAAGCCAGGAACTGTGAAAGAATGAGACCCTGCATCCTGGATTTCTCATTTGGGGGCATGGTCATTTGTGGCCATTTTGGGGGCTGCCCTTAATAGATGGCCTACAATTGAGGACACAGATGCCTTGGGGGAATTGCCTCTGAACCTATTACTAGTTCTTCAACCCAATGAACAAGACTACCTAGCAGTCTACTCTGTAATACCCAGCTCAACAGCCCTCATTATGGTCCATAAGCACATGTTATTCCCAAGCTTCCAGTGGCAGGAAGTGGAGTTGGGGTGGAAAGATGGTCTCATGGTCCCTCACTACTATTTACTAGTGTCCTGACTGCTTGGCTGCCTGGGGTAGTTTCCTAGGATTAGAGGGGTGGCCTAAAGTGATTGCTAATGTTTGGTCAATCTGCAGGGCCTTTCTCCCTGTTATCCTGAATGAAAGTCAGGTCTTTTCTTTTATTCAGATTACTTTAATTCAGTGAGAGTCACCAGGGAGCACCAGACTGGCTGGAAAAAGAAGGCAATAGAGAATTGGATATGAGTGCTTATTCCATCAGAAAAGCATGCACAGTGATGCTCAGGCGCACGAGAGGGGTTTGTTGGGTCTTTAAATCTACCTGGAGAAAAGATGCAGGTGAGAGACAGAAAAGTTAGCTTTTCACTCTAGCACCACTAGGGAGAGCAAGAGCATCATGATGCCCAGGCATGCTAGTTTGGACTTTGGACTCTAACCTCAGTTTTTACCTGAAACAAAAAACCCCACAGCATTAGAATAAAGCCTCTGCAAGTACATTGAAGAAAATACTCCCAGTCACTTCTCCTCTAAATAGCACAAGGGAAAATGAGATTCTTCAAATCTTTTAATAAGATTCTACAAGTATTTCCCTTGCATCACATAGTCCTTATCTCCTGAACCTGTCTTTGGGGAAGGGGTGTGGGCAGCAAACTCGTAGTCCCCAGTAGGGACTAAGGTTGTTGCAGAGGAAGAGAATGGGCTTGAATTCCACTGACAAAAGGGTGATAGCTAAGTGCACAAGGGAGCTAATGGTCCAATGACAGACCGATGGGGTATAGAGTGTGCACATGTGCAACACAGACAATCCTGGAGCAAGACTACCCACTGCTCTTCAATGTGTCTTCTGGTCAGGGCCTGTGCTCCTGCAGGGCAGTCTTCAGAGAGATGCATGAGGAGAGAGAAAATGAGGTGGATAGAGGAGGGAGAGGGAGCGAACCAGGGAAGGAGACAGACTGGCAGCCATCTCCCACTTTCCCAGGAAGTGGTGGTAAGCTTCTTCTATTCCTGTCATCGCTCTTTGCTTCCTGCCTCTGTGAGAGAAGGTCTGTAACCTCCAGCTCTATTAAAGTGGAACCAGAGAAGCCACAGCAGTGCCAAGAGAAGAGAAACTATGTGGGAATTGTTCTTTCATATATTATTAGGGATCCTTTCCCAGAGGCCCTCAGGCATGGGCCTGCATCATGCATCTGCCCATGGAGGACTTGTCTCTGGTGTCTCATTTTAGAGGCTTCCAGCAAATGGAACTGTAGGCTTTAAGCAAAGAATGACACCAACAAGATGTATTGAATTCTTTTTAGTCCTTCCATGACTTGCTCTGACATATTACAAACACAGCCAGAACAAGGGAAGAGGAAAAATAAATGAGGCATAATAGAAGCCTTTTTTCTTTTTCTCTCATGATGATAATGACAGGCTAGAAAACATCACTTGTCCTTGTATGCGCCAGAGTCCCTCGGAAGAGTACCAGGCAGATGTGCCTAATGTTGACCTACAGCATATCTAAACACTGGAGTGCATGGAGGCAAAAGTATCCTGTGTTCAAGGCAGGAGAACATTTACGGAACAGTTGCTATAAGCAAAAGATTATTATAGCTATAATCACATTTCCACTTCTATAAGGCACTGCTATTAATTCCATTTCACCATTGAGAAAAGAGGCATTCAAAGAGATTAAGAATCGGCCTAAAGCGACATTAGTTTGGGTCCCTGAATGATTATATGGGGTCAGAGCCTGTTCCCTGATATTCCTCACCCATGGCCAATCAGTGACAAATGGCAAAGGGGGGGGGAACACACACTTGATGCCAACTTGATGCCACCTTAGCAACTCCACAACACTGCCTGCCGTCTACCACGCGAACTCTTTAGTGAAGAGCTGAATTACTGTATGGTTGTTTCTGAACTGTTAAAACCTTAAGTGTTTTCTACTTTGAGAATTAGCCTTTCTGCTGTAATTGCAACAGCAAGATTATTGTGAGGAGGGAGGTTCTCAGAACCCAAGTGCGCTGGCTGAAGTTATTTTCTTGCTGAGCTCAGTCAGATTTGGAAGATTGCTTTTATTCTAGCCTGCCGTGATGTGACAGCACATTCTACAGAAAGAAATGTCTGAAAAACGACAGAAAATACATTCTACCACAGAACAAAGTCCAATTCGATGCTGTTGACAAATGACTTGGACTGGTTCCATGCTCTGGACTCCTGCTATGCTTTGTGTCTAAAAAAGGGGAGGAAAAGAACCTGACTTACTTTCCCCCCTTTGTGGCATATCTTATCAACAACACAATACCTTCTCTGTGGCTTGAAAGGATCAATAAATGAGTCTGGTCATAATGGGTTGTAAGTTGATATCATTAAAGGATTAGTGCCTCTAATCTCCATTGAGCTGCCAGGTATGGTGATGCTATATTATTATTTTAATCCAAGACAGGATATTCTTCTTAACTAGACTACTTGCTCTATTTGGAAGGCTGCTTGCTCTATGGCATCTTGTTAGCATCTCAAGGTGGGGCATCAATTGAAAAGTGCACCTTGACCAGTTAAGTTCTAGAAATTTCTTTGATGGTTTAAGGCAAGAGAAGGAAAGGCTATCGTAACTTACATGCCAGTTTTCCACATTTTGCCATATGGATTGTGGAAAATCCTGGTAGCTGTCCACAAAATCATTTCTTTTTCCTGGGTACCCATCTAGGGTACTTCCGTAAGATTCCTTGTAGTTGACCATGTGACTAAGAGAAAGACTAATGTGTTCCTTTTCCATGTATGGTATTTAAAACCCTTCCAAACCATCTTCTACACTTTATTCTTCCTCTCATCTGATTGACAGCCAGGGAGACCCTGAAAGGCATATGTGCAACAGAATAGAGCCAGCACTCTACAGCCCTGAAGAAGTATGTGGGGGCAGCTGACCATGACATTCTGGGTTCTTTGGTAAGCAGTAACAAATTCTAATGTGTTTCATCCACTATACATTCAGGGTCATCTAAGAGTCCCCTACTCTAACAAATATGCTGCCCATCATTTATTCTTCAGTAATTTATTTCTACACTATTAGTCCTGACAATTTTACCTCAAAACTCAAGTCCTTTAAAAGCTACCCTTGCCCTTAGGATAAATCACAAATTGTCTAATGATCCCCTGCCTACTGCCCCCATGTGCCGGCCACTCTTTTCTCTGCTCACCTCACTACAACTACACCGGCTATATTTTATTCCTGGACAGAATGTGCTCAGTCTTTTGGAGACACAGATCAAGGTCTAGTCACAGTTTAACTACATAATCAAAAGGGGATCTTTTACCACACACACTCCAGATAGAACGTGCTCTTGCTGCCTCATGTCCTTATCACATCCTGTTCCCCAGATCTGACACATCCCCTCCTTCCTCAACCCTGTATCTCTTCTGAACTCATCAAATAGACAACTACGGGAGTTGGACAGTGGACTGGATCACTTTTCAAGAGACAGCAGTCATATTCAATGCTTAAAACCTTGTATGCTTAAGGGTTGGAAAGAATTTGCAAGCCTGCATTTTATAAGTAAAAAACACACATGTGCAAAAAGTTATTTCAGGAAAACTGCTAACAACTAAATGTAAGGTCATGAGTTACTGTATGTAACTATGTAATATTCTTAAAGTATTCTATTCAATAGCCATTAAGATAGCCAAAAGAGCCACTTGTAGGAGCAAAGTGAAAGAAATGCCTCCTGCCATTACAGCATTATAGCTATCAGTATTTTGGAGACACAGCTCAAGGTATAGTCCCAGTTTACGAAATCAAAATAGGATCTTTTACAACATACATTGAGTTAATATCTTATTTTAAAAAGAGGACAATGAAGCACAGATTTATTTTAGTTACCCATGATTAATAAAGATGATTCTAGTCATAAAAATAAAGACTATAATATATATGGCCAGGCAAAAACTGCACATAACAACCTCGATCTTACTTCAAGGTTACCAAGAGCAAGTCTCTGGATGAGGTTGGAGGGATAGGGCCCTGGCAGCATGGAGAATGGTGTATATCTGAGGTTTCCCATGGAAAATATTGTCCTCCTGGGATTCTGATTCTTTCAGTCACTTTCAATGCCCAGTTCCTCATGTTACTGCATTTAACTCCCCATTCTTATAATCCTTCCAATCCCAAGTCTCCAGAGTATGCCCCTCATGGCCCATTATCTCCATGCAGTGCCCATCTCACGCAGGCACTCAGTGAGTGGGGGGAGGCTGGCTCAGCCCAGATGCTGGTCCCCAGGCAGAAGGGGCAGCACATTTAGGGGCCAGAGTTTCTGTCTCACTCCCCAGTTGGGAATACAGGGATGCAGGGTCTTGGTTCTAGGTTTTACTGATGATGCTGGACGCATAGGTGTAGGGGAGATTTATAGAGAAGAAACCCATGTAGGATGACAGAGAAAGACTTCTATTTCTGGCTTTCTGGAGCTACCAGAATATTTCAAAGAAAACAGACACCACTGTTCTTTGCAAACAACACACTTTAGGTTAAAATTCTTCCAACATTTTTAGGATGGGTTCTCTGGCTTTAAATCACTGTGGAGATAGATTCTCCGATGATGGGCTGAGATCTGATGAAGAACCCCCAGAACAGGGGAAGCCACAGTCTCCCCACCTGCAGACAGGTAGTAGCAGGGGAGACCCTGTTTGGGTGCTCCCCAAGAGATTCCACGGCTGCACCCTGGCACAAGATACCCTCCCATGGTGGGAGTAAAAACTTGGTGTGAACATCACCATGTCTGGTGCACAGAAAAGGGAGACTTAGCAATTAGGATTTCTGCCTCTACTTGGTGTTTTCTTTTCTTCATTAAAGGTAAATATCTTCATAAAGGTATTACTAGCATCTCCTCATGTCCAGCACTCCTCCACTTCCTGTGACTTTTTGTTCCCTGCAGCCCCTGATTCACAAGGCTGATGGGGTGACAAAGTCTATAACAAAACTGCAACTGTGCCCAAGTTTTCCTTGATGGCCCTGACATGCTTCTGATGTGCCAGGTCCTGGGTCCTGCAGTTCTCACCTCCCCCCACCCCCTTCACTCATGCCTCCCCATTCTACCACCACTGTCCTGAGCTTTCATGTGGCAGCTGCCTGTTAGTTTGTAAAGAAATGGCTCTATTGTTTTCAATGGCATCTGGATCCTTTCCCACTGCCACCACTAGTGAGTGATGCAGTTTCTCAGTGTCCTTGCCACTATTCGATGCAGTCACTAGTTTTTAGTCATTCTGGAAGGTGTGGAGAAAGATCTCAAAATGGTTTTAATTTGCATTTCCTTGGTGGTTGATGCTGCTGAATATTCTTTCAGATGATTATTTACCATCTAAACTACCACGGACTCTTCTAAACTATCACGGTGACTTCTTAAGTGACCCCTCTCTACCAGTTACCTCACTTTGATCTGTTTCATGCATTGCTGGAGACTCACTTTTCTGGAAGTAGGGGTCCTTCAGGTCCCTCTTCACCAGCCTTTTGTTTTCAACTGTCTGACCAAGAATCCAACTGTTCCATGGTGAAGCTGTAACATACCTGACTGAAGTTTAAGTCCCCTTACACCATTTCTGCCCTTGGAGTTCCGGCCAGACCCAATTATACAGTTCCTTGATTCTTTGCTGCATCTATGACTATTCACACACGCTTGTTCAATTACCATATCCTTTGCCACTATCGTGTGTTTCCATTCTGTCAGTGGGTAAGGCTGACATAACTCCACATCTGAATTAACACATGAAAAATGTCTCACCGGCCACTTGGCAGTTAATGGTGACATTCACTCCCCGCACTGTTTTGATGATACCGCCCACGTCGGCAGTGATGGCAGGCTCTGCTGTGTTGGTCACGGTCATGCGCGATGCTTTCACGAGCGGCTTCCCTGAAGAGGAGAAGGAACATGAACTGTTATTACAAGGTGGCTGTGGGTCTGGAACACATCCCTGAACTATGGAATGACCGAAAATGAACAACTGGCAGATCCAGGATTTTATTCCTAATCATGCTTGACTCTGAAAAACCTGTGCCTGCACAACATGAAAACTGTTCACCCACTCACCTACCTACTAAAGAATTGTTAGGAGAAAAATCCAAACAAACAAGGACTGAAGAATCTGAGGACAGAATGTGATTTCTAAATGTGCTGTTTTATGCATTTTATCATTAAATGAACAAATGAGTCTATATATTAGATTATTTTAAAGGCTTAGTTTTAAAAATGAAACTTTTTTTTTTTTTAAAGATTTGTTTATTTGTACATACAGAACTGGGGTACAGGCCAGAGGCTCGGGGTGGTGAGAGGCTTCACCAGAGACAGAGTGGGGAGCAGAACAGGCAGATCGACGGAGTACACTGCTGAGGGGAGCAGTGGGCGGGTCAGGAGAGGTCTGCCACGCCATGTGGTCACCTCCGGGGCAGGCGGGAATCGAACCCATGCGGAAGTGGCTCTAGCTTCTCAGTGCAGTGCTTTAACCCGCTGTGCCACCAGGGAGGGCCCTAAAAATGAAACTTTTAACTTTGAGACAAGTGTAGGTTGAACATAAGAAACAACAGTGAACAATCTGGTATACTTTCTCTACCCAGTTTTCCCCAAAAGTAACATTTTCCAAAACTGGAGTATAATAAAATGGTTGGAAATTTGACACTGATAAAATTAAACTAAAAAGCACTGCTATCAGTACAAGGAATCCCTTCTGCTTTTATCAATCCTACCTTCACCCCTTGGCAATCCTTCTGTTCTCCATTTCTCTAATTTTAACACTTCAAGAACATTGTATAAGTAGAATCCATACAGTATGTGAACTTCTTTGATTGGTTATTTATTTTTTTTTTCACTTAGAATACCTTTCTGGAGATTCTTCTAAGTCTCAGATGCCACCAGTTTCATTTGTCAATAGTTTGCTCCCTTTTATTGCTGAGTAGTATTCCACGGTTTGGATACACCACAGTTTATTTAGCCAGTCACCTGGAAGGACATCTGGCTGTCACCAGATTTGAGCTATAAAAAGCAGGTATAAGCATTCTTGTACAGGTTGGTTTGTGTAAATAATAAGTTTCAGTTCTCTGGGATAAATGCCCAGAAGTGCAATTGCTAGTTCATGTGGTAGTTGCCTGTTTAGTTTTGAAAGAAATGGATCTATTGTTTTCTACGGTAGCTGAATTCTTTCCTATTCCCACCAGTAATGTGTGAATGACTTAGTTTCTCTGTGTCCTTGCCACTATTTGATGCTATCAATAATTTTAGTTATACTGATAGATGTCGAGAGAGATCTCAAGATGGGTTTAATTTGCATTTCCCTAGTGGCTGATGATGCTGAGTATCCTTTCAGGTGATTATTTCCCATCTTTATATCTTTGGTAACTGTCTCTTCATGTCCTTTGAACATATCCCAGCTTTCTTTCGTACTGTTTTTTTTTTTTTTTTAAATTGAGGTGACATTAGCTTACAACTCTGTATATGAATCAGAGGCATAGGTTCATAACTCTTCAGATGTATGTGACTACACCACATTCACCATCCAGGCACCCATATTCCACTACCAAGTCCATGGGGCCACCTCCCCTCTATGATTCACCCCCTACCCCTCCCCTCCTACAGGAGTCTCACTTCTGCAGTCAAATATCTAGGCTTTTGGTTTGGTTTTGTCTGTCCCCATCTTGACTTTTTTTTTATTGTTGAGTTTTGGGATTTCTTTATTCTAGATACTATACCTCTGTTAGATATGAGATTTGCAAAAACTTTCCCCTAGTCTGTAGCTTTTCCTTTCATCTTAACAAGATCCTTCGCAAAGCCAACATTTTTAATCTTGATGAATTCCAATTTATCAAGTTTTCCCTTGATGGATCAATAGTTTGATGCTAACACCAAGAACTAATTACCTAGATGTGGAACTTAAAGCTATTTTTCCTGAAAGTTTCATATGTAAGTCTGTGGTATGCTTTTAAGTTAATATTTATATAAGGTTGACACTTGGGTCAAAGTTCATTTATATTTTTGCTTATGGGTGTCCAATTGCTCTAATACCATTCCCTGAACAAGCCATCTCTTCATTGCTTTTGCACAGTTGTCAAAATAATTTGGAAGAGATCCTAGGTTCTTTTGCTTAGTTTTGTACTACTGATTATATGTCCATCTCTCTACCAATAAATACAGCCTTAATAATTGTGACCATAGGATTAATCTTGAATTGGTAGGCTGATTCCTTCTATTACTTTGCTTTTTTTTCTTTGCCTTTCTGTACACATTTTAGAATAATGTTGTCTACGACTTAAAAATCTTTCTGAGATTTTGATAGGAGTTACATGAACCCATATGTCAACTTGGGGTGAAATGAGATCTTTACTGTGCTGAGTTTTCCAATATAACAACACTATTTTCCCTTGACGGATCAATAAGTTTTAAGGAGTACAGTGTCACACCTTGACAAATATCTACACCAGACTATGCCTACCACACAGGCCCACTCCCCACCCGTTAGCATACAACTGACTTCTACCCATCCCACCTCTTCCTTCCTGGTAAACAACATTGTTTTGTCACAAGTAAGTATTTATTTCTGTTTTTGTATTTGTTTGGTCACTTGCTGTTTTTTTTTTTAATTTTTAACTTTTTAGATTTCATATGAGTAAACTCATAGTATTTGTCTTTCTCTTTCATCAAAATTGTGTAGTTTACAGCATACATGTCCTGTGCACATTTTGGGAGACTTTATAACTGATTATTTGAGAATTTTTTGAAGGATGGTAAATCATATTGTATTTTCAACTTCAGTATTCATTGCTACTATGTAAAAATACAGTTTACTTTAGTATATCCTGTGACCTTGCCATAAACTTACATGTTAGTTCTACGATACTTTAGCTAGAGTTCTTAGCACTTTCTAAGTTGGTGACAGGGACACATTTTATTTCTTCCTTTCCAGTATGTAGGCCTTTTATTTTCTTTCTTGCATTTTTTTCCCCCTCACTGGATTGAACTTCTAGCACTATGTTGAATAAGAGTGGAAGAAATGAGTTTTTGGTATGACAAGTGATTTTCAGTTGGGACCCAGATATTTCATATAATAATATGGAACTGTGGATATTATTTAAACCTGTTTTAGCTAGTGTTCTCCCCTGCTCCCTTTATCTATGGTGAGCACCATTTTATTGTCACAATCTTACTTAGAATGGGGGGCAGAATTCTTAGAAACTGCAATCTTTAGTGAAACAGTATATTATGAAACCATGCTATAGACTAATTGATATAAACAACAGTTATGATACTACAGCATATTTTTTTGTAAGGAAATAGCACAAAACTTCTAACCTCGTCTAACATTAAACAATAATTTGTCTTCATTCTTTCCTTCGTTTTCCAGTCCATTTATTCCAGGTCAGGGTCATGGATGGCTGGAGCCTATCCCAGTAGCTAGATGGGACCCAACCCTAGATTAGATATGTTTGAGCAGTCACACATTTACTCACGTTCACTTAGACCAAGGCAACATAGACACATGACTGGTCTCTTTGTTTCCACTTTTCTTTTCCTACAGTCTTTTGTATCAACCAGGGTATATATTTTTTCTTTTTAAAAAGATTTATTTGTGCATAAAGAACTGGGGTATAGGCCAGAGGTACAGGGGTGGTGAGAGGCACAAGAGACAGAATAGGGAGCAGAGCAGGCAGACTAACAAAGTACACTGCTGAGGGGAGCAGTGGGCGAGACAGGAGAGGTCTGGCTGTGCCATGTGGGTCAGCTCCGGGGTGGGGATCAAACTGGCACTGAAGTGGCCACAGACAGCTTTGCAGTGCTGCACTTTAATCTGCTGCACCAAGGGGAGGGCTTTTTTTTTTTTTTTTTAATTTTAAATAGAGATGAGGTTAAAGAAAAAGATACATTTAGGGGATGACTGCCTCAGGAGAAACCTCTGCAGGTATGGCCGGGATAAGGAGAGGCCTACACCCAAAGACAATCTGCCCTAGAGGTGCCCCCAATGTGTCTTGAGCCCCCAATGTGTCTTGAGCACCCCTGTTGTCCTCAGGGGTGGTGAGAGGATTCACCAGAGACAGAGAGGAGAGCAGAACAGGCAGATTGACAAAGCACACTGCTGAGGGAGCAGCAGGTGAGATGTAAGGGGTCTGCTGTGCCATGTGAGTCATTTCCCTGGCCGGGGATAGAACTTGTGCTGAAGTGGCTACGGCCAGCTTCGTCGTGCTGTGCTTTATCCCTTTGCACCACCAGGGAGCGCCCAGAGTAATTTTTTTTTTCTAAAACATGAGTCAGATCACTCCTCTGCTTAAATTTTCAGTGCCTTTTTTTTCAATGCAGTTAGAACAAAATTTCAGGTTCCTTTTCATGACCACTCATCCCCCACATACTCAGGCAGAGCTGTCCACCCTCTTACCTTACTACAGCCACATGTTCCAGCCTATCTGGCCTTTCACCCCTTCTTTAATACATCAGTTTGTCTTGTGCCTTCCTTCTCCTGCCATCCTCCACCTCCAGACTTCTGCATGATTCCCTTCTGTTCACTCATGTCTCCATGAAAATATTACCTCCTAGTGGGGTTGTTTTTAACCAGCCCATCTGAAGCATGTACCCCTTCTCCCCCCTATCAGCCACGGTGTATGTCAAAATCAACTTTTTCGCTACAAGCACAACTATGAGACTTTATCTTACATGTGTGTTTGCTACATACTCTCTGTCCTAGTTCTGCACCTCCACAAAAGCAGGAATTGTATCTCTTTTGTTTTTTAATTTTATTCCTTTCACCTTTTCCTGGCACATAACAGGTCCTCAATAAATACGTAGCCTATCTGTGCAAATGGTATTCTGTGTGTGTTATCTGAATTTGTTCTTTCCCTAACAACTCTGAGAGCAGGTAAAGAATTTCTATTTTT